AAACAATAATTTAAATTTTTGGAAACCAATTTGTTAAAAGGCTTTGTTTTACATATTGCATTACATGCATCTCTAACGGAGAAAGGCCTTGTTTTCTGACATCCTTTGATTCATCACGTATAATTCCTAGAGAAAAGGACCCATTTCAGGCAAATATATTCTAAAGCAAGCAAAGACTAGGCTAATTTAATATGTTTGAAACTCTAATGAATTGTGAAGATAATTTACTTAAATATAATTACAAAATTTAAAGTTTGGAACTATTTAATAAATCGTTTTATTCCTATCAAAAAACTAAATATAGAAATGATATATATGAACTAACTACTATATTGCGTCGATTGATTTGGCCTCGTGCATAAAGGAATTATATGGTTAGGAAATTGAGAAAAAAATGAATATACAGAAATGTAAGAATTTTATTCATCATGGGTCCATTATTTAGGAGTGGGGATCCTCTATCCCAAATGCACATTGTCCTCATGACCCAATCTAATAAGATTGCATTATATAATATAAAATATTATTATTTTCTTTTATTTTTTATCTCAATTAAATGACATTTTTCCATTAGTTTGGAACACCAAATGGGGACAGCAGCCCATTCATTATTTTTTATTCATTTTCAATTATTATTGATTATTCTATTAAAAAAATTAACACAACTGAATATTAAATGATATAGTGAATGTATAAAAAATAACACTGATATTGCATAAATATTAGGAAATTTATGTTAGTTAGCATACTTGTCTCATCATCCAACCTTTCTTTTGATGGCATTCATGTATATGGGTAACTATTATCATATAGATATCATAAAATGATATTAGCAGGTAGTTCCTTTTTATTAATATATGAAAAAATATATTAAAGATCTCCATTAGAAATGGATTACGATTTCCTATTAAACAATGAATATATCTTCAACAATCATTTTGGATGCTATAGCCAAAACAAACAAAGACGCTCGCATATAGACTATAGTAGAAAAAGGCAAAATCAAACTCTCATACAATATTATTCTTTCCAAACATTTTCTACCTTTCGGTTGCTAAGTTTAATTAATAGGTGCATCCCATTAAACAATATATTCATGATAACATTTTTTTTTGGTCCAGTACTAACAAAACTCAGATTCTAGAAGGCTATAGAAAATCAATTAAGCAGCCATGCGCGCAGCGGGTTCTTCTACCTATAAGATATTATTTATAATTTATTACAATTATGTTTTTATTTATTATGGATAGATAAGAAACTAAACATGATATCTCATTTTTAAAATCTTCAACTTAAACCATTTTTCATCTACTACTAAATAATATAATCTAATATCAATTTTTATCGGTAAAAGAAAGAATTATTAATAAAATTATCCCGATAAAAAATTGGTCCTAGATTATGCTATTTAAACATACATACTATATTCCATTTAAGTAGAATAATATATGCCTACATGATAATATTCAACTACACTCGTATGATAATATATATAACATTAGTTCCTTAGTTACACCAAAATTAAATGATCTCCTTAGTTACACCAAAATTAAAGCTGGTTTGTTGAAGATCGGATTCTATGAGGCTATTCTTGAGGGATGTTTGTTAACCTCAATTCTAAGGGTAAATACAAAGAGTTGAGATAAAAATATATATTAAGAAATTAATTCTATTGCTTCGGAGTATATTAAACATTTAGTCTCTCAATATAAATTTGTCTTTTAACATCTTATCATTAACTCAACAATTTTTTTTTATGTATGTGAGTACCTTACAAACTTTCTCTAACGAGTAACATTAAACAACGTGGACGTTGATTAAAATTCGCCTTATATATAAAAATTGTGTGATCTCATTCTTAAATCATAATGGCTGTAGGAGTCATGCTTGAACAAATGCAATTCAAGAAATAGTTTTAGTTCATTTTTAAATTATTTCATCTATGATCTTTGATATTTTTTGTGTGTACCTTGTTATTATTATTGTTAGATTATTAACTATATTAAAATTTTCAGGAAGCAACACGTCTCAGATTATTAACCAGAGGAATAACCTTGAAAATATCAATTTAATTAGATTGGAAAAAAATGTAACTGTAAATATTATGTAACTTAACTTCAATATATTTTAGAGTTAGGAAAACGGCCTTGAAAAGATATATATTCAATTTAAATTAAAAGTAGTAATAATAATAAAAGACAACTTACTTTTAATTTTTCAAATTTTCAAAACTTAGTTGAACAAGTTGCTAATAAAAATTAACAATTAAAAATAATGTGGAAATTAGTATTCATTAATATATTATCAAGGTATTGGTCTGGTGGTTAAGGTCATGCTAGATATATAGGGTGACCAAAATATCAAGAGTTTGATTCTTGTGAGTAACATTTGTTGGGAAGCAGTCACGTGTAAGGACCCAAATTCTACCATTGAATTTTTTTTCCTTATTTTATTCATCATTCATACATTTTCCTACGACTTTTAAATAAAATACCAACAACTCAAATTAAATCTCATTTCTCTACTCATACCCATTTCATAATCTCAAAATAACATACATATTCGCATAGCAGAAATTATAATTCATTCATGCATCCCGATAACTACCGCATACAATTAGCTATGGGATTCCAAAATACTCATAGCTACGAATATCCAGAGTTACAAATATTCATGTTCAAAATACAGTTAGTCATATTACAAAAGAATGAATATAAGTACTTCCAAAAATTAAAAGCCTCTAAGCTCCTAATCAAAACGAACTTACATCTTCCGCCTACCTGCAGGAGATTAACATTGATCATACACAGAAACACAAATGAGTAAGTCGTTAACGTAAAATAATGTCAATATACATTAATCCACATTTTAATAAAGTTAAGTAAAAACTTAGAATTAAATATACTTAAAACTATTTCATTTGTTTATACTTTTGAAAACATGCTGCATAACTTGAGCTATAGTTTGCTACATTGCTTGAGTCAAAGCTTGCTACATTGCTTGAGCCAAAACTTGCTACATTGCTTGAGTCAAAGCTTGCTACATTGCTTGAGTCAAAGCTTGCTACATTGCTTGAGCCAAAGCTTGCTACATTACTTGAGCCAAAGTCGCTAACCAATCATGGTCGGCTAAAAACGAGTTTTATTTTCATTGGCAACCCACCAATACATAAACAGTAAATTCACACCATCATTACAAACATACTCATATATGCTTATAACAATTAAGTGATTCATGATTCATTTCATTATTCCGAGTTTTATTTTCATTGACACTCCACCAATACATAAACAGTAAATCCACACTATCATCATTACAAGCATACCCATATATGCTTATAACAATTAAGTGATTCACAATTCATTTCATTATTCCGAATTTTATTTTCATTGGCACTCCACCAATACATAAACAGTAAATCCACACCATCATCATTACAAACATACCCATATATGCTTATAACAATTAAGTGATTCACAATTCGTTTCATTATTCATAACCATAAAATCCACGCATTTTCTATCACAGTGCATAAGTTAAAGACTTATCCTTACCTTGGTGAGCGTTGGAGTCGGTTTCGAGTAACTTTACCAGTTCCCTCCGTGATTTCTTCCAACCTTAGGATCTTTCCTCATTCCCACCAATAACAACAATGTCAGTCATTTATTCATAATAACACATGAACAACTCATATTTCATCTTTATACATACAAGGGATTCACATATTTTCAATATTTCCAAAACTACTTTATTAAGAGTTTCCAACCATTCAAGACATACCTATTGACCTTGTATTCAACATTAGAACACATACTCATGACACAATCATTCTCATACGACATAATAGTGTCCATTTGTTGCCATTAAACACTTATCACACAATCATTATTACAAACAAACCACACACAACATATTCTTCATCATATAACATTTAACACATTTCCTCTTATGACCACATTTTCATTTTGGGGGTTTTGGGGTTTTTATAAATCAACCCACAAACCATTTCCATTCTTTGAATATTACCTCTAAACCAAGAGTTTACAAGAGAGAAACTAAATAAAACGAACCACAACTCAACGGAAGAGTTTCCATGGTTTCTCATATTTTTTAGAAGAGATCCATACACCCAAAACAAGTTAGAAAGGAAGAAGAGTTAGAAATAAGAGGTTTACCTCTTCTCAAGCTCTAAGATGATTCTCAAGTCTCTTTGCTCTTGAAAAGCTCTCCTCTATCTTTTCTTCAAAGTTCTAACCCTAAAATGTGTTTGGGGTTTCTATTTTAAAGTGAAATCGTTGGGTTCTCGCTCAAGCGAGCCTATTATCGCTCAAGCGAGAAAATCTCGCCCATTTTAAAAACTCAGATCTGACCCTCTCGCTCAAGCAAGGGATTTCTTGCTCAGGCGAGGCAGCTCTCGCTCAAGCGAGAATTCTTTCGCTCAAGCGAGAATCCTTTCGCTCAAGCGAGAATTTTACAGCCTCGACAGGTCCTGAATGCCACTTTTCTCGCCCAGGCGAGACCACTCTCGCTCAGGCGAGACCACTCTCGCTCAGGCGAGACCACTCTCGCTCAGGCGATACCACTCTCGCTCAGGCGATGTAATTCTCGCTCAAGCGAGAATCCTTCGGTATTGCCCATTATTTCACTCTCCCAGGTGAGCCTCTCTCGCCCAAGCGACGATTCTCTCGCTCAAGCGAGGCTCCCATGACTGATACTATAATTTAATGACTTTAAAATCTAGAGCGTTACATCACACACTCTAAAAAATATTAGTTCCTTATCCAAAAAGGTAAGAAGATACCATTGGTAATACCAAAAAATATTAAATAATTAAGGACTAATTCATTTTAGGATGTTAAGATGGAAATCATTATAGATGATTTCCAAAAAAAAAAATGAAATCTTTAGGGACAACGTAACATGACTAAAAAAGGTAATTGAAGTTTCATCATGCTCTACATGTGTTGCCAAGTAGAAAATAACTAGCATGTTTTGTGCTCATGAGAAAGAATGGAGATCACCTATCCCATATTCTATGTCTCATTGTGTCTCTGTCTAATAGAAAATTTACACATACTTAAAATGAAAATTCATATAAACAAAAAATTAATTTTTTATATTATTTGGTAAGATTTGATTGGTTTGGGACAGACATTTGAGTACAGAGTTTGCTGATTCCTTAAGAAAAGGCTCATTATGGTTGGATGTCTAATTGTTTAGGAAGTAAAGATGGTGCCTTATACCTAAAAATTGGTGGTCAATTTTTGGGATTTGGTCTTGTTTAGGTTTGAACATCAAGGTTGCGCCTTAAAAGGTGCTACTACGTGAAGGACTATTTCAACATTTTAGAGCATTCTCTATTTTCCATTCTGTTGGAATGTGTTATGGTATTATCTTGTTTTATCTGATATGGTAGGAAAGATTTTATCAAATATCTTAATACATTAATATTACTATGGACTTTGGTACAAAAAGGTGTAGAGCTTCAGGCACAAAGAGAAACATCAGCCCCCATCGTCCTATGATCCATTTGTCTCCTCTAAGATTGGTTCCATGATGCAATAATTTTCACAGAAGGAAATCAGGGTGGGTTTGGTGTTGTAGCACATGACTATGAAGGCACGGTCATGATTCAGGCGTAACTCAGCATTCACGGTCACCTAGGCCAGCATCACACGATCACGATAGGCACTATGGACCATCTGACTCAACCAACTTGGCACGATGGCTTGGTTACATCAGACCTCATGGCCTTCTCTTTAAAATTCTTGGGCTATATTTTAGTTATCATTTGGTTATCATCATTAAGAGTAGTTACTTAGTGAGTTAGTTATAACCTCATTGCCTTAGAGTTTGCTTGTTTATCAAGCAACCCTGTTTTTCATTACCTTATATAAAAGGAATTAGAGCTTATGCCTCCATTGATCAATAAGAATGGAATTCATTTTCTCTGCAAAAAGTATTAGTCACACTTTTGAGTTTGGTAATAAAGTTTTTTTTACTAGAGGTGACAAAATTATTTACGGTCCACAATCCATCCAAATCCAAAAAAAATTAAATTCATCTAAATTGATCCATTAGTGCAAATGAATTTAAATGGATGGATTCGAATGGATAACTTTAGTAATTGGTAGATTTGAATCATTCATTATATCCAACGGATATCCATAAATATATTTATTTGGATGAATATCCAAACCATTAAAAAATGATGTTCTTTGCTTTTTCAATTTCATAAAATTAAATTCAAACAAATTCATGTCCATGATTTTCATTATGACTTTTAATATTTTATTAAATTAAAAAAAATAAACGGACAACTACTCCTACATGTTCCTTATAAGATTCACCTCTACCAATGGTTATACTCAAAATAATAAAGAGAACAAATCTAATGTCACACTTTATATTCCATTTTATTTACTCTTTTTTTGTGTTAAGATAGTTTGTATTTTCTATCTTATTAGTTGTTGTATATAAAAGACATTTCTCTAATTTTTTTATATTCATTCAACAATAATGAAATAAGGATAAATATTATTCAATAATGAGAACGGTTATTCCGCTTTCATTCTCATTCTTTCTCTTTTCTCATTCTTCTTTCTTTAAGCTTTCAATCTTATCTTTCTTTTTCATCAACTGAATTTCATCTCATTTATACCAAACTTTTAACATTAGGAGTAAGAAAATATTTAGTTAATATATAATTATTTCAGAATTTAGTAAAATGCATTAGATAGAAGAAGAGGTTGGATCATAAATAAAGACCCAATTGGAACACGGCAATGAAAAACACGCAAGGCATTGGGATGCCAACTTGGAATAAAATACCATAACCGTATGTCATAGAAACTTCACATGGCTGTTTCAGATGTAGGATGTGCATTCAATGGCGTACACACTACATGTTACTTATGCATGGGTGGTGAGGATATTGATATTTTAATATATTTATTTATAGAGAATAAAATCTTTACTTATTTTTACTATTTTAAAATGAAAACTTTAAAAATGAATGGAAATAAACTACATGTTAATCAATGAATAAATTTATACAGATAAGTTATCTCCAAAAATTTGAAATGTATAAAAATTAAATAAGACTCACTTTTATAAAAGTATAGGGAAGAAAGTAAAAATATATAGCAAGACAGAACATAATAACTCATCCCATACACCAGCAATTTGGAATTGGATGAGTCCAAGAATGACAGATGAATGTTACACTCGTGCAAATTTCCTACATAAGATTCTCTTTTCTTATCATAATTTAGTTGATACGGGTCTAAACTTTTAAAACAATGGGGTCCATGACTGCTATCATACACGATCATGACCTGAAAACTGAAACTTGGAAATTAAGTACTATACTATTTAAATTTTCTAAAGATACAAAATATTTCAAGCTCAAGTGTATATATTTTTATAAGTCACATTGGAAGGTAGTGTGTTTTTGAATATGAATTGTCCATATCATGATAATCCTGAAGAAAAAATCACCGATCAAAGTTGTAGCACGCTACTTATTTGGTTGGATGTAAATGCATATTTTGATGAGAAATTACAGGACATGGATGATATTTCACATCATAGACATGGAAACTCTTTGCCGCAATAGATTTGCTTAGGCATGAGGATGATGATAAAAAACTTATGATAAAATTATGATACGTCGCCACCTGATGTTGCACATGCATATGAATCTTATAGCCTAATTTGAAGGCCACAGTGGTGCTACTGGCTGGTCACGTTTCATACAAATACAGCTTCTGATATATCACTGTGGGTCACCCACCCTTTCGTTGATAGAAAGGTGAAAGCCACCACCAATGGTTGCACATTTAATATGGACCCCATTTGCCGTGTGCATGTACAGTCACATCCACAACATCATCTTTCATTTTAGCAACACTCTTCTCCTGTACTAGAGAAATAAGTATTGTGAAAAAACAAAATAAAATTAAAATGCAATGACAATTATAACATTCTATTTATATATATAATAATGATATTTTTAATTCTAAAAACGAAGATTGCCCTTTCCTATAGAGGATCCGTGCTTCTTTCACTTATGGGATTTTCAAGTAACTCTAAAAGGCATGCGTTTTTTAAAGATGTAAAATAGTATTGATTAAACATTGTATTTGTGATAGATTAATTGTTTCAAATCATCACGAGGTTGTTCTAATGGGGTATGACCTGATAGATCTATAGAAATAGTAAAATGTTAATTATTCAATTTTTTGGAAAAATATTTGTTGTAATGGATAACTACACAACTCGAAAAAGATTAATTTTTTAGCAGGGAGAGTAATGGAAAAAAGATTAATTGTTGTCTAGCCTTTTGTTATTGTGCAATTTTAATACACATTTCCTTTCATATCTTTTGTTATTTATATATATTAGTAAGCCCACCAATATTCTATTTTGACTAAAACACTTATATTTCTTCTTTTTTTTATTTTCTCCCAGTTGGTATGTTTGATGAATATATGAAATAAAAAAAAAATAGAAATGGCTGATAAAAAGATAATAGGTAAAATTGGTATAAAATCTTACCGTCAATTTTGCCCAATATGAGAAAGGAATCACAAAATAGGATCGAAGCAAGAAAAAATATGCCTATCATGGAGAAGACATTGTTTTGATATTTTATTATACTTGTCTAGATTATCTCTTGATAGTTGATAATGTCTGGATCTTCTCCAGTACTGGAGAGGCCAATACATTTTTTCCTTTGTTTTTTAATGGCAAAATTGTAATATTATTGTAATAAAAAAGATGCATGTGTCATTGAACATTGCACTTTCCTTTGATTTTTGATTCACTTGCCTCTAATAGCGTCCATAATGGTGGATTTGATTTTTTTGTTCATAAAGAACGCTACGATTTACCCCACATTAATATATTAAAATATATAATTACATCATAATTCTTTAAAAATATATTATTAAATTAATCTACCATACTAAAAGGCAAATTCATGACTTGGATCTAGAAACATCTTTCCTAACCCCACTCTTTCACACTACAGAAAATATAGAACAGAGAGAATACCTTTTGGTAATAATGTGTCGAAATTTGCTGCTATAATTAACCAAGTGTTAAGTGATGTGCTTGCTAAGAATGTTTTTTACTATTGAAAATACAATTAATATAATAACATCAGTAACATATTTGGGACTATCTTGAAAAAGGAAAAAGTGTCACACTATTATTTTTGGCTGTAGGGATGCATGGAATAAAGAGATAAGTAATGATGAAGGAGATGTGAGTAATGTTATGTGTAAGGACAAAAGAAAGAGAAAGTGAAGAAAGAAGAAGGGTAAAGGAAACCAATAGTGAAAAAGTGGTATGAATATCATTACTGTTAAAAAATGATGATATAGGACTGCAATGCACACATAACATTTAATATTAATATTAGTATAACTCATAGCACGCTAATTTTGTGAGTAAATGTTAAAGATTGTACTTGAATAATTGTATAAATGTTATTATAATTCCCTTTATTTCCCGAATGGGTTTATGCTAAGAATCATTTCAGAAAATTGTAGAAGACTAATTAACTCCAACTCCTTAAGCAATGCATGCTTGATGAGATTAGTTAGAGAGGGTGTAGTACTGTGTATATATAAAAGGATTCACAGAATCAGACTTTGCTTGCGTGTGGTGGTGATCGGTGTTGGCTCGTGCACCGAACAATAGAAGGTTGTTAGTTTAGAGGCACAAGCAACAAAAATGTGATATATGTGATACATAAAATATCTAATTTTACTGCATAAATATGCATTGTACTACAAATATTGAAATGTAAAAATATTATTCCTATCAGCAACCCTTTTAGCGTTACGTAGTTCCAAAAATAGTAGGTGTAAAAAACTGACTCATCATCGGTTTGGTATGGGATACCTCTTCGGTTCTTCTGCAATCATATGAGGAGTCAAGACAACTAATGCTATTTTTTTGTTATGATTCCGATACAAATATAATTATTCATGCGTGGAAAATATGAAGTAGTATTTAAGGGATTATAAACTGTATTTCAAATGGTTATGTACCAACCTTATCATATAACATATTCATTTTATTTTGGGATAAAATATTTTAATATTCACTTAGTCATTATATAGTATCCTATACAGACAGTGACACAGCTGTGTCGTTATATTAGCATGAAAAACATTTTCAATATTATACGTAGAAATTGCACGTTCTCCTTGCTTTCATTTTCCATAAAACTAAAACATTCCTAGTTAGTTAGTAGTAGATAGTGTTCTAAATTATGATTGTGATCACATTATATTTATTGTAACTGTAGAAAATGTGGCTGCAATTATGGTTGCGATTTCAAAGGAATACTTTATGTGACCACAATTGAGATTAGGGTATATGATTTAAAACAGTAGCACGCTGGACCCTTAACTATTATGGTGTTAAATCTAACTTCTGTTCAAGTGTCCATCTCTTTCTTTTTTTGCTCTTGCTGTCTCTTAAACATGGCAATGTTGTCTACGTTAATGTGTCAGATATGTTAATTTCATCAACAAATTTTCTGCAATTAAATTTTTTTTGGTCCAGAAAGCTAAAGTTTTGTCCAGTCCCACATTATTAGCAAAATTCCACTTCAATTCACAGAAGTTTCAACCTTTTATCATTAGTAACTATTCCACGCGTTCACTTTAATTAAGCTAAGGACTAGAGGATTATTCTCAAAGATTTTAACACTTCTTGTGCTCATATTCTCATAAAAGAAATAGTAATGATTAATGAATATGTGAATTTCATACAAAATTTTGAGCTTATCACAAGCAGCATGTGTCTTGACTTGTGTTATTTTTATTGGTGGTTGTGTTGTTTAGATTTCTGTAAGGGTTTAAAACTTTAAAAGAATAGCATTAACGTGATGCTTATAAAAAAAAG